TCAACCTGGTCTGATCCCAAGTCTGCTGGTGTGGTCACTTACCAAGACTCCTGACACAGCTTTCCCTTATGTTCTCCCCATTTCATAGACTCACCACCGACTTTTTCTTGTCTGGGATCCTGTTGTCGCTTCCATGGTCCCTGTAAACACTATGTGAGCTGGAGAGAGGCATCCAAGCCTGAGATATGGACGGGTCTGTGATTCTGTGACCTCACCTCCCCTTGGACCTTCAACTATCTTTTCACTCCAAGTGGCGAAGGGCATGCAGGTGGGAGTAGCCAAAGAACTCTTCTGAGAACTGTTCGTCTAGAGTGAAAGGGAAATAGAATTGCTATTTTCTTTCTCTCTGAAGAGAATACTGGAGGTGCAGATGGTGGTTTTTATAGTTCTTGATCCCAGGTGGAAGACGATATCCCACCGGAAGGGAGCAGGAAATAATGAGGTCTGACATATGAACGACAGTGAGCTACGGAGGCCCCATTGCAATCTTTTTTTCCCAGGAGGAAGCTTGCTTAGTTATATCCTATTTGTGAATTAGGAGCAGTGGTTTTCAGCCCATGGGTCATGACCCTCTGGGGGTTGAATGACCCTTTCACAGGTGTCACCTAATACCATTGGAAAACACAGATATTTATATTTCAATTCATAACAGTAGCAAAATTACAGATATAAGGTAGCAATGAAAATAATTTTATGGCTGGGGGGGAGGGTCCCCACAGTATGAGGAACTGTATTGAAGGGCCGCAGCATTAGGAAGGTTGAGAACTACTGCTCTTGAGTGACACCATCATTTAAGACACTGGAAAAAAACAAAATTGAGACAAATGTATGATGAGGATTTTAATAGATTTGTATAAAATATGTGAATAATCCACACAGCCAGTGTAGTCAGTGACTCCAAACGTTCATCACATTCTGTTGCCAGCTGGTACTTAGCTTTTATAGCAAAATGCACTTGACCGTTTGTACTGCTGTTAGCTATAAGCAGAAAACCTAAACTATATTAAAAAACAAAAACAAAAACAAAAACAAAAACCCGGAAGGTTCTGAAAGCCTGAGCAGTAAGCCACAGCATTAGAGGCTGATGTTATCACAGGTCATGTCCTCCTCAAGCGCTGACTAA